AAAGCGGCATAATATCGAATTACCATTGACAGACGTGTCGACGAGCAGGCCAAAGGCTCCACTGCAAACAGGGTGTTCCATTTAGCCAGACAGGTGAGCTATAGCTCAGGTAATGCATGGTAAAATATTTATAGGCAATCATGCATTAATGCGGACTAAATTACGTTCGAACAGGGTGTTCCGTTGCCTTAAATGTGTCTTTGACTTGGGACAGAAATTCTATTTAAAAGATAAGTAATTAAAAGTAATATTCAAATACAATAGTGCAAAGGCACAGTGTGCTGTAGCAGCGAATTCAATCATTCAATATCAGTCAATCTTGACTGATGAAAGCCTACTTTTGCAAATTACTTCAATCTACTCTTTGATTCTATAGACTTTGGAGCAAACTTAACTTTAATAGGGTGTTTAACTGAAAGTAGTGCAAAACTTTTACAAGCCACAAGTTTTTCCTGCCAATCATTATCAATCAACAGACATTGCCATCATTAATTTAAATTTAGTTTCATCCATCAGTCATTATCAATCAGCCATCAAATTTAACAGACTTGGGATGCTTTTATATATTTATTACTAATTTATCAAATGACCCAATAACAGATTAAATCGAATTAGTTGAGCAAAATTTTGGTTTTATCTATCCATCAATCATTATCAATGAATCACCCATCTTTATAAATTCAGCCATAAGCCAAGGCTGACAATTCTAACAAATTTCGCCTATTAAGCCGAAAATTGCTTACACGATCTCTAGCATAGATAAGACCGACTATAACAATCATAATTCAATTAATTAGAGCTCACATTGTATTGTCATGTTGTTTAAGTTCAGATGGTCAACCCTTTTAGTTTATGCCATCGACTGACCCTTCGTTAAGTTTGCATTCTGCGTTGGCTTGCTCAACTTAATTAAGTTGCCAACGCCCCTCGCACCCGCACTCGCACCCCCATCCGTACGTTGTTTGTGCCCCTGTTGCTGCTACAGTAGCGGCTCAGCTTACAAACACAAAACAAGCAATGGGCGAAAAAGTCCATTTAATTAAATTTGCATGAGGAATAAACAAACACAAAACACGACAAAAAATACATCATCAGCGGCGACAGCAATTGGATAGAGCGACAAGAACTATATGTGAAGAGAGGGGCCAACTGATACTATGGTAGAAGAGGAGGCTGGGCCAACCGGGGCAGCTGAGCAAGTTGTGCATGAGGAAATGCTCAGCTCCGTTTGAGACTGTTTGTTGCAAGCTCGCAGCTCAAAGCGAAGAACTTGTTGCTGCTGAAAGATTTTATAATATAGATAATATTATATAGGTAATATGTAGATCAATCGGTATTGAGTTATACTTTTGTTTAGTGAAAGTAGTATAAGTTATTGCCTTAATCAATCATTTTTCAAGCAGGCCTTGGCATAAGTATAAATAAGAGAGACTTAAGGTTTCCTACCACCTCTACAGTTTGAATATATGAGTTCGGTAATTCACATATAATCTTCGTCTGTAATTAGTATACATCGGGGCTTTATCTATATATAAGTTAAGACTATCGACTTTCTAAGGAGGCTTGAGAGTCCACTCAGACATTCAAGGGAAGAACCCAACACGTAGAACTGATATGGCTCAGTTCATATTCGGACGAGAAAAGTTTAGACCTACTGTTACTAAATTATATACAATATATTACTTGATTGAACACAAAGGTTTTTATATTCACAAAAACCCAACTCAGCATGCCTAGTCACTAGAACTCTAGTGTGAGAGCGCTTGTATATATGATAATAATGATCTCATAAGTTTAGCCATATTTTCTACACACTAAAATCTCTATCTCCTCCATAGATATGTCTATATCACTAATAAGGCTGTATTTTATAAATTTTCCTAAGGGGTAGCAAAACCTTAAATATTTTTAAATAAAATTAAAAAAAAAATAGTAAAAGAAACATTGTAGTCTGAAATTCTTTTTAATTATTATCAATTGTAATCCATCTGTGGACAAAAATCTGTCTGATATATTTTAAAGGCAATTTTTAGTCTATTGGTTGTATTTCTATAGCTCTAAAATAATAATAACAAATAGTCCCTGCTGCTACCTTATTTGTTTCCTTGGGTATTTGCTTGTACCTTATAATCTAAAATTTACTGCCTTTTATATTCTTGAGTGCTTGGCTTATCACTGAAGAAAAATGTATTGGTTAAATTTTGTGTTAAATAATTTGAAACTATTTCCTACTTACCATAAAATTTGATATATATGTTTTATTGATGTTCTCAAAATACTTAGTAAGCAAATGCTGCTTGAGGGCGGCTCTGCAACCTTTAAGTATGTACTCAAATTGAAGGCAATGTGTCAAAAATAATGATAAAGTGATTTACCTGAACGATAACGACGCGTCGTCGGCCACATGTTGCGAGAGTTGTGAGGAAAATTTAGGAGGCATTGCCCCTTGTGACTACCGTTTATTGCGGTCGTTGGCTCATGATCTAGCTGAAGAACACCTTTCGTATAAATCGAATCAAAATATGAGATCTTTGATCAGAATCTTTAACAATAAAGAAATGGTTAATAAATATAATGTTTAATGAATAAAATTATTTATATAC